AGCTAAGGTTGAAAACCATGGCCACCTTAGTTTCATGGAAAAGCTTAGGAACTCCATCATGGAGCTTACAACCTCCAAATTGAGACACACACTTTTACCATAGGAAATCAATCACATTCAGTTCCACTACCTAAAACTTTCCATGCTTAATTTTCAGACCTCAAATCATCTCATATACAGATGTTTCTTATCTATAATACCTTATATATATATATATATTACGTCAATCTTGTTTTATAAAAATGAAGTATCAAATCATCTTGGATTAATATAAAATTTTGTATATATGATTAAAGTGATATGAACTTTCAATCTAACGGTTAGATTTACAAAATTCACATTTAATATAGTTATTGAACGGTGTAATACTTAGTAAAAGTTACACCGGTGTAATTATAACCCCCTCATATATATATATATATATATATATATATATAAAATATAATATAATATAATGGATCAATTATGGTGTAAGCTCTTACATGCATTTTTATTTTAATCACTGAATAATTAATTATTAATCATCAAACTACATCAATCATTATTTAATTGAAATGTTCTTAATTTATTTCATTTGTTTAGAAAACACATGTTAGGATAAGATAAGATGTGGATGGAAAATAATGTATTAAATAACTTTATATTTTTTATTCATAGAAATTATGATGACACAAAGTTTAAATTTAAGATCTTGTGTATAATATCTCATTCTCTCATATCAATCTCAGTAATTTAATGACTTTGAATAATGAAGTTTTGTAAATATAATTAATGTGATATTATTTTTCATTTACGGTACATTTTATGAAAAAATTAGCTGAGGAAAAGATTTTATAAAAAAAAAAAAACGAGTGTTCAATGATTGTTTTTGTTTTTCAGATGATATATAGAGCCATGGGAGCATTCGATAAAGATGGTGGTGGATCAGGCTCAAGCTTTAACTTCATTTCATTGTACATTATTGTGTCTCATTATGTCATGGGCACATGAGAGAATCCTCTCTAGCCATCTTGGAAAACTAATGAATAGTTGAGAGATTTTGACAAACTCTAATGGTTTTATTTATTCCCAAAAGACATGAAAACTCCACATGACAACTATTGTCTTTGGAACATCCATGTCTAGACTTAGATGTGACTAAACCATATGACAATTCACAAGTCATTGTAGCCATAGGTGATGTGGAGACACATCAAGCTGTTAGAGGGAAGAAATGGCTAAAAGATTGAAGAAGAGACATTGCCAAGAGAGTGAAGGGAAAAGAGAGGAAATGACAAGGGAACCAAAACATGCAAAACAAAGAGGAAGGGGAAGTTCACCAAAGATGAAGAATATGGATAAAGAAGGAAGAAAATGATGGCAAAAAATCAAGTTGTACTTATACCGATTAGTTAGTTTATAGTTTTGAGTTTACTGTATTTTTAATGTCTAGTCATGTTTTCAAAGTTTTTAAGCAATGAAGATTTATTGATTTTATATAGAGATACAAAAGATTCATAATTGAGTGTTGAGATGTAATTTTGGAGAGTAACCATGTACTACAAAATAATTAACTAATTTATATTATATTCATCTATTTCACATTCAATATTTTCTAAATTATTTGATGGTAAACTTTGTAAGTTTCTTAATTTAATAATTGTAAACTCTGTCATGAAAAATGAAGAGTCAACCTAATATTGATTGATTCCTGTTAATTGGTGTTAAAATAATGTTTAATTAGTAAAAGTGAAAATCATTTATTATAAATGTAAATTAATTTTTACTTATTAACTTTTAGAGATTAGATAGACTGTTTGAAAAAAAATGATAGTATTTAAATCATTTTAAGTTTTCTTCTTATAATTTATATCATTCACATCTGTCACTTAACATATATGATTAAGCTTTACTGCTTCATATTATAGATTAACAGTACATTGCATCCTAGCGCATATTATTTTTAAATTTGTTTTCTTCTACAATAATGAAAATTGTAAATAAAAATATGAATTTTAAATGAATGAAATTTAATGATGCATTGTTTTTATAACTTTCTCTCCCATGTTTCCCTCTTTCAATTTCTTAGTTCCTTTGTTCAAGACCATGTAAATTCATATGTATTCATGAGAAAAAATAAAATAAATAATATAACTATCTTTTGTTGAGAGTAACACTATTTTGACTTTCGAGAAATTTAGAACCAATGGTCTTTTAATAATATAATTAGTTTCTAAAGATGAAAATGATCATTTTATAATAATTTGATGAGAAAAATATTATAAATAATATCTCCATTAGTTTCTAAAAAAGACAATGGTCATTTTTGTTTTAAGACGAAAATTATGATCATTTAATTATGAGTTTTCATCTTTTAAATATAAAAATAATATTTTTCATTCACTTAAAACAGATTTTTTTTTTGTCATATTGCATTCTCCTAACAAGTTAGGAAGAAGGGTCCAAGGATACTAAAAAGTAGCTAGGTTTGTAGTTTAACTAACACCATTTCCCTCATTATTATTTGGTGGGTCACAACATTTTGATAACTTTGTTTTGCTGGAATCAATTATCTTAAGACTTTGTCCGAGTTAAAGTTTGTTGAATGGTGAGGAAAGAGTTGCATGCCAAAAGTCCCTACAATTTTTTAACAAGTGGAATGTTCAACTTTATGGATTACAAATTTGTTGAACTTAAACCAGCATGCTTTAATCAAACCCCTTGTGATGGCATGAAAAGACCTAGGGAGGTCTTTTCAAACAATAATACTTATGATGTAGATAATAGATAATGTACGTGTTTGGATATTATTCAACAATCAATTATACTTCTATTTTTTTCTTCTAAAATTCATTCGTTTTATACGATAGAGATAATGATTACAAGTTTCAAAAAGTAAAAACAAAAAAAATTAGAAAGATTAAAATGAAAATTTATTTTATTGGAATATATTTAAGCTTATAATACATGATGATGAGGAGGAGGAGAAAAGATGAATATATATATTTTAATCAAATTTTTATGTTATAGTTGAATGAAAAAGTTTATAGGTGGATATATATATGTAGCATATTAATGATTAATGATGAAAGAGAAAGCATACATGGTGATGGTGGACTGTGAAGAAAGGCAATGTCAACGAAAGTACCAAACATGACCGAGAGGGACCCTTTTCACTTCAGGTATTTTGCCATAAGGCTAAATTTCATTTTCTCTAATATAAAAATATAGCTAAAATGAAGACAACTAATATTTTCTAAACATATATGCTCTAAATATTCAATATTAATAAGAGTAATATAATTATATCATAAAAGTCGACATTAAGTGTTTGAAAAAGTGATGAAAGTTAGAGTATTTTGATAATTAATTATAATTATAATGATTTTTTTTGCATAAATTTATTAAAAATAATTTTAGGATATTTAATTTTGTTTAAATGAAAACAAATTTATATAATAAATTAAATTTAGAATGAAAAGATATTTGCTTACATGATTAAAGAACAAAAATATTTTTCAAAAAAAAATATTTGCTTTAAAATTGTAAATACTTAAAAAAAAAATAAAACAATTGAAAGATGAGATTATAATATTTTCAAATATGTTCTAAAAGTACATGTGGAAAAGTTTTTTTGTTTTTATTATTTTATCTTCTTTTTTTTTTTGGAAAAAAAGCTTTTTGTAAAAAGAGTTATATATTTGAGAGAATAATTTAAATTTGTAAGAAAAGAATTTCTGAAAAAAACCATTATTTTCATAGGAATTAAGCCAATTATATGTATATATAATTTGAAACTTATGATTATTTCTTAACCATTTTTCTTTCAGAGCTTTTATTGTATCTAAAATAAAACTGAATATTTTAATTTTTTAAGTAAACTTATTAAAAAAAGTTATTTTTAATTATAATTGATTATATATATAATAACCTATTATAGAAACAATATAGTTTTTATGAATGGCTAAAAATAACTCTAACTTATGCTCCTTAATCACAAATTAATTTATGTTCTAGACATATAGTGTAGTCCAACCAAACTTTATTCTTAAAATGAGTCTAAAGCTTTTTTAAGTATCTCAAGTGATTTTATACTAGTACTCTTTAATTAAGTATTAACATAGTCTTAGTTTGGATATAAAGTCCTACCACTTTATACTTTTAACACTCTTTTAAATATATTCTTTAATTAGTTAAAATTTATTGAAAAACATAAAATTTAATAGATCTCACAACTTATTTAATGATTTTCTTTCCCATGATTTATAATTTTTAATAAATTATAATGAAAATGAATGAGTTAAGAAAGTGTATTACAAGCATTCCTTGTACTTGTATAATTAGAGTTGATTAGTAGGAATGATATAAATAAAAAAGATTAAAATATTTTTAGTTTTTATAGTTTTACTAACTTTATATTTTAGTTTTTATAGTTCAAAAGAAATATTTTTAGTTATATATTTATCTTTCTTAATTCTTATAATTTTTATCATTAATTTTTTTTTAGCATTGTGCATTTTGTGCTAATGTGATAGATGTTTTTAATTCTTGTGAGTAAAAAAAAGTGTTTCAACAATAAACATTACATGTGACATTAAAAAGAGATATTAAGTATTGAGAGATCTAATAAAGTAACTCTAGTAAAATAAATTTGATATCAAATATGCAAAATTTAATTAATACCTCTATCATGTCAATATAAAAGACACAATATTATAAAAAGAAATTAAGGACATAGATTAAAAAATTATAAATATAGAGATTAAATAAATTTATCTTAAATTATAAAGATTAAAAAAATAAATATAAAAATTTAAAAATATCATTTTAAATTATGAAGACTAAAAAATAAAATAATTAAATTAAAAAAATTAAAAAAATATTTTAACTATTAAAAACCTAAAATCTATTGGTATAACTCTGAAAAATATTATTAAAATACTTAAAAAATTCTGTGAAGAAAAAGGAAGAAGGTTTAAAAGCTATATCTAAAATCTAAATTTTGTCCTAAGCAACAACACTACATATTTTGCTTCCATGTTTTGCGCAGGCTTGCTCGGGGCTGAGAAAATTCCAAAAAAGGAAAAAAAAATGAAAGAGACAGTTGAAAACTAAGAAAGAGAGAGAAGCAATGGTGTATTGGAGTGGCGCAGATTGAGGAGTATATGGGTGGTGGAGGAGGATGAACACTCGTGGATGGCATTCCTCGCTTCTTCCATCCTCACAATTCTATTAACTCTCGCATTCATCATCACAACAACAACATTGTCCTCGTGAGACATTTGCCTGCCCAGTTGCCCAACGTTCCCACTCACCAAATCTCTTCCTTCCACCTTCTCAAAGTGCCCAAAGGCTCCCACTTCTTCCATGGATCGTAACAAAAAGGTCTCTTTTTAAAAATTCACTTGTTTGTTCATAAGATCGTGACTTTTTTGTATTTTAGCTTATTTTGGGTGATGGGTGCTGTCCAAGTTTCCTTTTTTTTTTTCAACCCTTTTTTTGTGCTTGTTTGGTTCTTTGCCATTTATTTAATCTGTGTTGGGTCTTGTGTGTGTTTCATTTTTTAAATCTTGCATAGAGCTAGCCATGTTTGGTGTCATATAGAATCTGGTTTATGTTTTGTCTGAGAATATTGAAAAGGATGGGGGAGTATTAGAGAGATATGATTACAGAGATTGTAATTGATCTCATTTGGTGCTTCTTTCTGGTTATGGTTAAAAACTAAGAAATAGCTTTTGGCAATTATTAAGTTAGCCTGATCATGGTGAACTTTCCTTTTTCTTTGCTATGTTTTCCTATAATTGGGAAATGAAAGAGGAAGAGGCATGGTTAGCATTAGCATTAGCATGATCTTGATTTATCTTAAAGCTGGAGTTTGATATGCTATCACGAATCCCGTATGATGTGAAGAAGTGCCAACTTTATGATAAGTGCTAGATTGTCTGCTATTTGACTTTCCCATATATATTCTAACAATGCTTCCTATATATGTGTTTTGCATCTATTACAGTATTACCATAGAACTTGCGATAGGTTGAAAGACAAAATCATATTAAGTTGTGGTACTCAAATCATCTTTACATGTTATTGCCTCTTTCTACATAATGGTTCCTGGTTTATCAAACAGGGTGCACCGGAGGTAGAGTTTTTTACCGAGTATGGAGAGGCAAGTAGGTATGAGATCAATGAAGTGATTGGCAAAGGGAGTTACGGTGTTGTGTGTTCTGCTGTTGATACTCATACTGGGGAAAAAGTTGCAATTAAGAAAATCCATGATGTTTTTGAGCATGTGTCGGATGCCACGCGGATCGTAAGAGAAATCAAACTCCTTCGCTTGCTCCGACATCCTGATATAGTTGAAATTAAGCATATAATGTTTCCCCCCTCACGACGAGAGTTCAAGGATGTCTATGTTGTGTTTGAGTTGATGGAGTCTGACCTTCATCAAGTAATTAAGGCAAATGATGATCTTACTCCTGAGCACTACCAATTTTTCTTGTACCAACTTCTTCGTGGCCTGAAATTTATACATTCAGGTATCCTTGTAATTAAGTCCTTGACTTTTGCAGATAGTGATATTAAGCTAAAATAATATTTTTCTTACAGCTAATGTGTTTCATCGTGACTTGAAGCCAAAAAATATTCTAGCTAATGCTGATTGCAAGCTAAAAATATGTGATTTTGGGCTTGCTCGAGTTTCATTTAATGAGGCTCCATCAGCTATATTCTGGACCGTAAGTATTCTAGCAAACTGTTGCACTTATTATTTCTGTTCTGCATCTTCCTTTTAATATTTTCAGCATTAAATTTCCATCAAATTCATTATTTCTGTTCCAGAATCATCCTTCTAAATCATTTTGCTGACTGATTTTACCTACTCTTACCAAGGACTATGTTGCAACTCGGTGGTATCGTGCACCTGAGCTATGTGGTTCTTTTTTCTCAAAAGTAAGCTTCTTGTATTTTTTGCACATTGCCCCCCTTTTCGGTAGTTTGTGACACGTACTTAAGCTGTGATTGCTCCAAATCTGATTATGCTTAATTATATGTGTTAGCGATAGCAATCAGATTCTAAGAGAAGAAAATAAATATTCAACACACAAACAACGGTTTAACAAGGTTCGGCAATGTGCCTACATCCTTGGGAGCAAAGTGGCTGTGTTTCTATTATTAATCGTCAAAAATTGGGTTACATCAAATGTATATAAACTATGAAAAGTGGCTGTGTTTCTATTAATTAATCATCAGAAATAGGGTTACATCAAATGTAAATAAACTATGAGGACATAGTCCTACACTCCAAACCAATTAGTTTGTAATCCAACAAATAGGTGGTCTAAGTCCGAATTGCTTTACTCCAACATGTGTCTATCCATTATGAATATGAGTCATGTATTACCGTGCACACCTATGTACAACATTATGATATAGTCCAGTTCTCTTTTTGTATCTTTCAATTCTGAATATTAGCTTGTTATGCTTATATAATACTCTCTACATGAAAATACTTCTTGAATTTAGAGTTAGAGTTAATCTTCTACTCTGTTCTTGTTATATCTATGTCAATAATTTCCATCACAGATACTTGTTTTGTCTTCTATTTTTTCTTATAGATTATTTTTTGAGAGAAAGGAATAAGGTACAACAACTAGGGGAAGATAAAACAACCTCCAAAATAACAAGAACTATGTAAAAGAACTTAAGAATTGGTAGTTGTTACTTGTTAGCTATATATAAAGGGATTGTGATTTATGGTATTTTTACTATTTTTGAGCCTCATTTTGTAGTGTGTATATAGTTTATCAAATATCAGTTGCTACATATATCATATCTGTCACTTTGTTTTAGTTGATTTTTCATTATCCCTTTGCAAACGCCTTTTACACACTAGATCATTCGCCTTGTCAATCCTCCTCTACCTGGGTCGTATATGATATATGAAGTTGAATATACTTGCAAATTGCAGTACTTGCATAATTTTACATCATTGTCTTTTGCAGTATACCCCCGCAATTGATATTTGGAGCATTGGATGCATATTTGCAGAAATGCTTAATGGGAAGCCATTGTTTCCTGGAAAAAATGTAGTGCACCAATTGGATCTTATAACTGACCTGCTTGGTACTCCTCCTGATGAAACCGTTTCCAAGGTCAGTTTATCCAAATCTGTTCTGCATTTTGTAACATCAACAGGAAAAACTAATGAATGTTGTCATGGCTAATGAAATTAATTCTAAGCTTCTATTTTCCTGTTCTAAAATATTTCATGTCTCATGTTTTTAATATCTACCTTATAATTTGTTGTAATTAGTGTTTTTCATGCTTATTTTATTTCCTCTCACATGTCCTCTTGTTAATAACTTTTAATCTTAATTTTACAGATTCGAAATGAGAAGGCTAGAAGGTACCTTAGTAGCATGCGGAAAAAGCAACCCATTCCGTTCTCCAAAAAATTTCCAAATGCAGATCCATTGGGTCTTCATTTGCTGGAGCGATTACTTGCATTTGATCCTAAAGATCGTCCAGAAGCTGAAGAGGTTGATCTTCAGTTAACTAGATAACTACCAAAGGGGAAATTTCGTTGAATGTACCAAATGAAACCTCTTTAAGATAATTGTGCAGATAATTTCCAATTTTCCTTACTTTTTTGTTATGCCTGTGATTGCAGGCACTAAGTGATCCTTATTTCAATGGTTTGGCAAATGTTGACCGTGAACCGTCCACTCAACCCATTTCAAAGCTTGAGTTTGAGTTTGAGAGAAGAAAATTGACCAAAGATGATGTTAGAGAGTTGATTTATCGTGAGGTATGTCCATACATTTCAATGACTTGCTTCAATTTATTGTCTTCTCTGTGCCTTGGTAATAAATGAGTTAATATATTTGTACCGAACAGATTTTAGAGTATCATCCTCAGATGCTCGAAGAATATCTCCGTGGTGGAGAACAAACAAGCTTCATGTATCCAAGGTAGGGCAGTAATACTGACTATTGAGAAGTTCACTCTATCTCTTTCTATAACTGGTTTTCAGATTTCTGCTAGTGATATCATATGAAGGTTTTTAAACAAACTATTCCCCTAAATATGTATTAGTTCTAGTCTTGACTATGGAACTCATTCTATTACTTAGGAAGTGGTTTAAAATCAATTCTATAAAAACAATTCCACCAACTGTAAACTAAACAGGCACTTGGCAGAACTTCTACCTTATCCCAATGATTATTTGTATGATTTTCATGATTCATGGATTGTATGTGAAATATATGGCTTGATGTGTATGTGAAAGTAGATGTGCTTGGAAGGCTTGTCTATCCTGCCTCTAGGCACGCCCTTTCATAAATGAGATTGAGCCAGCTTTTATGATATGCTTTGATTTTATAACCATTGTCAGGATCCCTTCTATACATTTATTGTTGTTGCACCCAAGTTCCGATAGATTTTCTCTATGTAATTTCCTATACAGAACTAGAGAGCTTCTCTTATCAAAATCATTTGGCATGCATATGTAGTTTTTGTTGATTCTTGTATGTATACGTTGAGTATTGAGAAGCAACTGATGGTTGGTTGTCTTTTTTCTGCATGTCATCTAAGAACTGTTAATATGGGATCTTTTAAACCATTGCTTGCTTGTGATTTTAATTATTTTTGTGTTATCTTGTTGCAGTGGAGTTGATCGATTCAAGCGACAGTTTGCACATCTTGAGGAGCATTATGGCAAAGGTGATCGAAGTGGTGAACGAAGCACTCCATTGTTGAGGCAGCACGCCTCCTTACCTAGGTAAGTTTTGGTTAAACATCTAGGTTCCTAGACAGTTTCTAGATCTAAACTTGGTGAACCTTTTCAATTGATTGATTTGCATGCAGACTTGCACACTATCAACAGCCTTTTTGTCTTGTTCTTTTGGAGGTTGATTTTATCTATATTTTTTATTACCATCATCATGGGCTTTAAAGATTAGTATTGTCTTTACAATGCTGATAGATGAGGCTGGTAGTGTGAACTTTGTCTCTGGTATCATTTAAGAGTCATCATGCATTGACTATTTCAATTTACATTTTTCCAGAGAGCGAGTTCCTGCTCCCAAGGATGAAAATGATCAAAACAACGAAAATGCTGGAGCAAATCTTCAGAGTCCTCCAGGGTCTGAATCAATAGATTCTGGAAACTCAGATGCACAAAATGGACCCTCCAGGCCAAACTGCAGTGCACGCAGCCTGTTGAAGAGTGCCAGCATTAGTGGTTCAAAGTGTATAGGAGTGAAACAAAATAAAGATTCAGAGGTAGTTAACTCCCTTTTCAGTGCTGTCCATGTATTTTGTGAAATGGAATGGTACTAGCTGGAATGCTTGACTTCAGTAGAATATCCAATAATCTACTAAGCACTAATATTTTCATTTGCTTTACGTGTCCGCATCCTTATCTGATACTCTTAGATACTTTATTAATACGTAGCTATGAAGTATAAGCATGGAAACCTTTAAAAAAGGTTATGAAAATCCAATTCATCTACATATCAATTCTTGGATCTGCAAAATTGGGATTATATATTTATTACGTTTTATGAATTTTTATGCATCTAGATATATATCTTACATTTGTTGTATCCTATATATTTTTAGAATAATCGTATTGGATCCTATACCTGATACACGTATCCTATATGGGCATCATAGCCAATAATTCATTACGATTTACTTGTTCCATCAAGTATGCACAATAGACATCTGCCTTGAAATGATCTATGTTTATTTTCAATTTTACTCTTTGAATACATTTCTCTTTTGATTATGTTGATCCTATTTCTATTTCCATAGGAGGAGGAGCCACTTACAGAGGTCAATGATGAGACTCTGGATGAGTTGACACAGAAGGTTGCTTCCCTCCATGCTTAGTTCAAACTTGATTCATGATCTTGATCTAACTTTCCTCTACGCTCCTTCCACAAAAGAAAAAAAATGAGTTGTTGCATAGAAACCCTTCACAATTTTTTTGAGGGTAGAAGCTAGCTATAGGACTCTTTTGTATTGAACTACATTTTGTATTACCAGTGCAGGTCATGCAAGTATATATTTGTGTAATAGTACTCATTATTGCAGCACAATGTATTATAGTACTTGTTTCTGCAACAGGTAGGGATGGTGCCAACTACCTTAATTTCTTCTTGTGAGAATTTTAGCAGAAATTTCTCTTTATTTGCATGTCCTCAAAGGCAGCACAGGATGCTTGAAACTCTTGTCATGCATATTTTGAAATTTGAAAGCCTTTAAGGTTCATGTGTAATTAGTCATGACAATAGATATTTAGATATGATATTAGTGTCCATTTTTTGTATTTGTGTTATACCTGTTCCTAAATCCATACTTGCTTGGGAAAATAATTTTAGTTTATTCCCATACTTTATGGATTGATACCTAGAATGTATTTAATTAAATTTAAAATCAATTTAATAAATTAATCACAAAATATATAATGTACATCTATTGTTTATAACAAAGAATATTTATATAAATTCAAATAAAACATAACGAGTTTATGAAATAACTAATTTATAAACTTAAAATTACTTTTATTCTTCAAGACATGTCAACGAATAAGATATTAACACTAATTATTTATAGGGATTTGTGAAATTAAAATAATATCTTTTTAGGTTAAAATATCTTTTTTAGTTTATATAATTTTACTTATTTTATCTTTTAGTTTTTGGTTCAAAATAAATTTTTAGTCTTTATATTTACATTTTTTAATATATTTTTTTGTCCATATTGTTAATTTCTTTATAACCATTTTCATGTGAGTGAAGTGGATTTATTAAATTTTTGTGGCAATGATGTATGAGTTTTTGGACGTGTCGTTTAATGATTTATTAAGTAGTTACCAATAATTTGATTATTCATTTGAATCACATTTGATTATAGTAAATATTGACTGTCTTTAAAATCATTCATATTTTTCGAATTTTTCCTCTTAAACCATAAATCAACACATCATCATTCACAAAATCAAATGTAACGTCACATGAATTTAATAAATCCATTTCATTCGCACAAAAACGACATTAACAAAAATTAATAGAGACTAAAATTGAAAATATAGGGAATAAAAAAGTCTTTTAAATTATAGAATTAAAAGGTAAAGTTAGTGAAATTATAAAAACTAAAAATATATTTTAATTTTTTTAATTATATAATGTTGTGGGATATATTTGTTATATATAATGTGTAATATTAATTTTTATTATAATTTTAATGTATTGAATAATATGATAATTAGGCTATATGGTAAAGTACTTGTATATGTATTTACTTTTATAATTAATATTTTATCATGTACAATGATAAAATTTGATTTTATATAACAAATTATAATAAGTAAAAACTTTTTACATGTAAAAATTATATTATAACTAAAATTTATGTGTAAAAGTATCTGTATATGCGTTTATTTTCATATTATATGGCATTATGGGAAACTAAGCATTATGCTTTCTAATTATCTCCTTAGCAAATGACCGATTTGGAAGTTTGTGTGTGATTTACTTTGCAATATGTTGAAACCAATTTATGGAAAGGCTAGAGCTAATTCATTGCATTGTAGTTCATACAGAATGTTGATAAATAGCTAATTGGGTACATTAATGCAGTGCATTATCGACCCAAAAAAAGGAAGGACTGGTTTACCATTGATGACAATCAGAAGTTTGTTTTTTATTTTTTTCTGCGATGACATTCAGAAGTTATTGACATAATTAGAAAAGAAAAAAATATTGCGCTTGGATTGATACTGTTCTGCTTCAAGACATTAATTTAATTAGTACAGTGATTCACCAACAACAATTTTTTTATTCATTTTTTTCTCTTTATTTCTTGTCACATTACTCATCTTATACAATACATCTTCCTCTTTACATTTGATAATATGATAAAATCAGGAACTATACACGACCAATTAGAAGTCATCCTCCGTATGACTTTTAAGATTATTATAAAAAATAAATTTATCATGACAATTTGTAATTAAATAACAGTTTTAAAAACTTTTACACCATCAATGTATATATTATTTATTCAAAGTATATACGTGTAAGTAAAATGTCTCACTCAAGAATAGCTGGCAACTTGCATAAAATGAAGAGGAAGGCAATCATACATCGAAAAGTGCACATTTGAATATAAATACATCATGTTGTCGCATAACCAACATTCTTTTTTTATGACTAACCACAACAAATATTGCATAATTACAACAGACATGTAGCAAGCAAGCAAATTTGATTCCCATCACACCCCATGCCAATCTCATCCATAAAATCATATCAGCGTCTTTATGGATGAACTTAGTACAAAGCCATTATATGTACAGAACGACAAATGGCCATATATCAATGGAGAATAGAATAATTTCCCTTATTTGGGATTCTCGAAAATGCATACCCGTGTATTATTCACATCCTCTCTTCCATTGAGCTATGGAACTGGTTTTGTAATATTCACATCTTTTCCTCTATTGGGCTTAGGCTTATCCCTGCCAGCTTTTTGTGTGCTTAGCGTCCCTTTCACATTAGTTCCAATAGGAAGTCTGGTTGTTTGAGATCTAGGACCACTCCCTGCTTATAACAAATAATATTTAAAAATGGCCGGTTCTATTCTAACATTATCCAACCAACTGGGTTTTCAGATTGCTTACTACTGTACTCTTTCATCAACAAGAGTTTAAGAAATGAAGATGTTTACACAAAATATCTGATTGAAATTAAATTGCAAATTAATTCCTTTGGGAGTTAGCAGAACATCAATGATCTCATTCTGTATAAGTCGGTGAAGTTATTTCTGAGAGTAAAATTTAGAACAATGGAGAGATCAACCTATAGTGAATACAGTGAAAGGGTTTTCTACGGCGTTGGCCAACTTTTGAAAGTTGGAACGCGCAGAAATTTAGGAAAACTTATCTACAATATTTCCAGAAGAATCGACATGGAATGTAGTTATTTTACAAATCTTTTCATCTTTAATGTAACTCTTGGAAATGATTGATCATCTGCACTTACCAAAAACCTTTCAGGGAAAAAAATTGTGAAAAAAATAGCATTGCTCTTGTAGCAAGTATTCATTTAATCAATTTAAGGTTTTGGGTCCTCTAGAACACAGGCCGACATCAGTAAATGAGGAGTGAATGCACTAGATATGATTCCTCCTCTAACTTTAGTTGCCAATTGCAAACTCGAACTCCGTGAAGTACAATGCAACGATTTAGGTTAGTTAGTCTACCTATATTATAGTTTACCTGATAATTTTTCCAATCCATGAAGCAGCTGTCACATGCCAGTGTACAGGTAATAATAAAATGAACAGAAAGAGAATAAACTCACCATTGTTTGGCAGAGATAATCGATTTTTGGCCTTCTTATCTGCCTGTGATGTTCTTTCCTTGGGGTTTGAATGAGATCTTGATTGAATTCCAGGTTTTAAGTTAGCTTCTTCAACAACATTTTCAACATCTGCTTTAAAATTTGGCTTGACAGGCTGTGTGTCTGATGTTTCTACCGAACCTGCTGACTTACTTGGTGCAGGTGAAGAATCACATCCATTGGAAAGAATGGGACCAGTTCTCTGACTTGCAGGGAGCGGATGCAAGTTCGATGAAAATGGTTTCTTGTTATTGTTAGCAGGTCTTAACTGATGTGCTGTTCCATTTTGACCATCCTTAGCTCCATTTTCATGCATCATTAATCCATGCCTCAGATTAATGTCAACGAAGCGATTCTCCCAAGGACGGACAGCCATCCATCTTTCCAACCAATTCCAACCCCAGCTACTTTTATCTGGTTCAAATCCAGAGGAAACAGGCTGTTGCCTTGATCCTGCCTGCCACTGCCAAGGGGAAATTTGAAAAATCTTACAACAAGCTTGGGGAACAAAACGATGTATCCAAGGAAAATGGATAATGCACAGCTTCTGATTGTGTGATGGGGATATTGTTGGACAAATCCAAGTTCATTTCACTTCTAGAAGTTCATTACCACGTTATAACATCATCAAGTAACCGTACTATGTTATGCTATTGATATTACAAGTTATAAAAGTATGTCGCTAAACTATGTTCAAATTTATTTCATATTTTTCTTTTTGGGAAAAAATAATTCTATTCTTGGTACTCTGTTCTTTAACTCTACATACAAACTTGTGTTTGAGATGGACAATTCAAAAGCTCAGATTGAATTCCCTAGCAATATCTTATGTCACGTGATGAAGAATAGCTTGAAGGGGAATGAGGGCCTACCAATAAATTAAATGAAAAATAAATTTCAGATATTTCTTATTATACAGGTTGCAGAAAAATTTCACCAAAGTATAATACTCACCACCCACATGGTTAAACAACAGACGCTATTGTAAATTCACCTGATGAGCTAAAGCATATGCCATGGCTCTCTCACGTTTTGCTGCAGCCTCCTGCCTCTTCAATATTTTAGTCTGAATTTCTTCAACAGATCCTACACTATCACACCATCCTTCCTGTATACATGATTATAAAAAGTTGAGTTATTAATCGCTATTATTAAACTATGAGGTGCCTCAAACAAATAGTTTGATAAGAAAACTGCAATTCAATTAACATTGTATCATAATAAGCACTAAATTGTGGCATTTTGCAAATACAGTTCTTTATGGAATTACTACCTTTATGAAAACATTTTGAGAACAAATAGGATGCATAGGAAACTAAATCAGAATGGTATTATCATAGAAACTTGTTTTGGATTTTGTATGTGATAACTTTTCCTCTTTGCTTCCTTACTTCCTAGTTCTTTCCATTCGTTCTTTTCAATTTCTGTCAAGTTCTAGCCGACAACATTTCTGGAAAGGAACTATTAAACTCATCTGAGAGGCTCTGGGACTTCATAACTATAATGAAAGAGACGATGATATTTTACAAATAAAATAAGTAATGTCACTTAAAGAGCATTAGTCCTTAAATCCTTACTTCTATTTCTCGAACTTGAACTTTGTTTGGAAGCTTTTGCTGAAGTTTCTGTTGTGCTGCTTGAGTTTCCAATGACATGCGAACATGCCTTGCCCGAACTCGAGCCTGAACCCTTACCAGAGCTTGCATGCAACGGAGTGTTATTGCAGCTTGTTTTCTCACTGCATAGCCTCTTACAAGGGCCTGAAGTTTTACCACTCCTTTCAAAGCTCGTAGTGCTCTTCTGGCCTGATACATAAAACACAACTTTCACATGGCCAAATTTGTTGGCAATAAAACTCCCAAAAGAAGATTATTGTAAGTCTCAAAAAAAATACAGGAGTGATACAAGAAAGAAGGACCCTCAAAATAGATCTGAAGTACATTTTGAAGAAAACCAATTAAATTCTAGAAACATAACATCCTAGAGGTGGATAAATCACTTTTGTCAACCACTTCAATGCCAAAAGTAATTTCAGAGAATAAATAGACTCCTGAAGTACAACGAGAGGGAAAAACAGAACTCAATGGAATTTGCCAAAACACTGTCCTAGGCTACAGTCACATCAAAACAGAAGAAAAATGTATAAGGTAACAATTTCAGTTCAGATACGTATTTTCTTTAGTAAAATATTTCAGTTCAGCTCATGTCAATCAATTAAGCCAAATTTATTGTGGAAAATTACCAGAAATCCTCGAAATGCTGTTTGAATGCGTATTGCAGCCCATTCCTGCCTATTTTGATGATTATGATCGGCATCATGTGCTTGTTGTGAGGTAGAAGGTGAGCAATGTGCATCAGTGTTTGTATGTCCATTGTTGTCTCCAGTAGGTTGAGTAGCATCACTATCAAATTCGTTAGGAAGTTTACCATCATCAAATTCGACAGAATGCTTTTTCTGATCACGATACTTGCTAACCTTCTGATCATTGAAAGTTAAAAATTAATTGCACAATATTATCATTTCTCACAATATGCAATGTATAGTATTTTTATGCAGGAGTGGGACCAGAAGAATTCATTTGGGGTGGGTGCAAACCTTGAGTGGTAATGTGGCATCTCTCATATGCTAAGAACACCACTTCCTTGAGTGGCACTCTCATATGCTAAGGCATTAACATTGCCCTGCCATCGGGGTTTGGGGAATGCAGTATCCCCCTTATTACCTAAAATGTGGGTCCACCGCCGGTTTTAAATGCTACTAAATTCAATTTACTCAGTTTCATAAAGGAAAATTCCTTGAGCAAACTAGAACTGAAATCATCAATAACAAAACTACTTAATCAAGGTGAACCATGCGAACATTTTTTGAAGAATTAAAATGACTCCACTAAACGCCCTGATTACAGCACTTTCAAACACACAAAGACAATACAATTTCCCCAAATCAATTGAAACCCAATCCAAGCAACAAAAGTTATTTGCTCCCTCCATCCCATTTTGTTTGATGTTTTAGCACAAAAAAATAAAAATTATTGTCATTTTACAATCCCAATGAAATGAAGCATTGAATATATTTATTTATTTTATTAATTATGGAATGACAAATGAAATAGACATACACACGAGAGAAAATCTAACACAAAAGACAAGGGATATATTAGGAAATTACACAATAATCTTTATGAAATCTAAAATGTTTAGAGACACGGAAAGATCATCTCACATTTCCAATCCCATCCTTCTCTAACGAGTCTGGCTTTTCTGATTTCTTTCGACCCACCAATGCCTTAATCCACTTCCCTGAGACACCCATAGTGAGAGCAAATTCACTTTATCTCAATCTAGCACAAACCTGGAATCAAAGGGCAAATTCAATACCAAACCAAAGTAGTTGATCATCATCACACACAATCTCAACCATCCTAATTACCAATCACGTATGAGCAGAGTATCAAAGCAAACATAAGCATAGCTGATAAAATCTATATTACATTACTAATTATGATTGGCCTAATTTCTAGGTTTCTTTCCAAAATACTCCTGTAGTATGGTAATGGATAGATAAGTTATAAATAGAAGAACATGGTTTTCTCAGTTATATGCAAGCAATAGTGTTATAAACAAGTTCAGATAATTCTAAAACCTAGAATCGGAAGGGTTTGAACTTTGAAGCGCAGATCCAGAATGTAAGAGTTGACACAGAATTCACCTGAAACTCATAGAAAGAGAGATTGTCACTGAGCTAATTCACTGAGTCAAATGCCGAGTTCTCATTCACACAAACTCTCTCTCTCTCTCTCACTGACACACTCTGCAATTAGTTTCGGTGGAAAACAATAAAATACATAAGGAATGTATATTTAATTTAATAAGTAAATAAACCCTTAATTTTTTTGAGGTTTAATTACCTATAAGGTACCTACAGTGTCATAAATTTTACTCCCGTCTCCTAATAATTGTTCTCTTATGGTATTTTATATAGATAAAAAAATTAGTAAATAGATAAAAAAAATAATGATAATTTTATAAAATTATCTTCATAATTAATGTTCTTTACTATAATATAATATAATAATCATTTTTAAAAAATATTATAATTTATAAAGGAGTATAAATAGAAAGGTGATCATTAATATTGTATTAAAAAATTAATATGACACATAATTAAGATTTTTTTTTTCAAACCAACATTTATCTACATTAAAAAAAGCAATAATAAATATATCATTATTATTTATACCTATTCAATACTCATAAAAGTGGTTATATGAGTTAATTTATTTTTTTATTCAAAGTTATAACTAAAAATTAATTTGTATTCATATTACTTGCCTTATAATGAGTTAATTTAAAAGATTAAGAACTATTAAGAACAAATACTTAAATTTAGTTTTGAAAGATTGTAAGATTTTTGTGTGATATATGATTTCCAAAATTTTAACTCGGTTATACAAGTTAGTCATTTCGTCAGATACTAACTCTATTAATCTCAAAATCCTAAACTTTGTTAGCCTCAAAACCAATTAACAAATAATTGTCATGTTGACACATATTCTCTTTTCTAATTGATTATTCTTTCTCTTAATCATCTAATATGAACAATAATGTAAGGTTTTGGTACTTTTCAATCAACAACAAACACTTTGTCATGTTTAAATGTTTTGGGCTTGAGTACTTTGATTAAAAAAGAAGGTTGTTATTGGATTTCATAGGATTTTCTGTAGTTGAATTTTTCTATCTCATTCATCCTTAATTTCTCCATTTGTTTTGACTTCATGATTAATATTGTAAACCCTAAATTATTAAATTTGAGGTTCAAAATGAGTAGTCATTCTGAAAGATTTCAAGCAAGAATGCATTGATTAAATATGAGTGTTTTTACTATATTTAATAATCACAAAACTCCTTTGATAGAAGTGGAGAAGAGCCTTCTCTTATTGTAGAAACATGACTCTCTTGAGGGCTTCACAAACAACCAGAAACCTAGATAATTTTTTTCACTTGTCCCTTTCCAAGGGTATGATAGTCATGTTATTAATGTTTCAATTTTTCTGAGTTTTCTTTCCTTTTAATGGTCTGACATTTGCGTTGTTTTTACTAGTGTAGAATCATTCAAGTAACTACAATTTCTTTGGCGGGCAAATGGACAAAATGAACAGAGCTCAAGGGATGTGTTAAATGTAGAGCAAATTACAACGAAACAAATATGGAAACTTAAATGTCACTTAGTGTAGATAGATTAGTGATGGAGTTAAAAATGTTGAAGATTATGGTGTTCGTTATCTTTATAATTGTTATAATTTTAGGTTTAACTTGGATTGTGTTTATGATGGGATATAAGGTATGAGTGTATTTGGCCCATTATGCAAGTGGCATGACTATACTGAAATATAAAAGACATGTGAATTATATTATGTATGTTATCTTTTTATGTTATATGGTTAAATTTAAGTGTCATTCATTAGCTTAAAAGATGCAGACCCATGAAAATTATATTCTAAGAGACAAAATAATGGATGATAAATATAAGAAATTAACAAAATAACATTAAGGTATTGTCCATAACTGTATACACATTGAAAAAATACATATAAATAAATTGACATCCTATACCCAGGAATACTCCCCCTTCTATGTGCATTCTAACAAATTAGAGGGAGCTATTTACTATATATATATATATATATATAATACTATTAGATATTATAAAATTCAATAATGTAAATATTGTTAACGGAATTGTAAAATTTGTCAAATGAGATTTCACTTGACAAATTTTTTTATTTGTTGGTATTTACCAATATTTATATTATTAGAGAATATAAAATCTAATATTATTATACATGAGTTTCATATGTTTTTAAGAAATATGAGCTCAAATTAGATAATAACATAACTAAAAAAATAACATAATTGAAATTTGACATCCGGACATTAGTTAGGAAGTCATTTTCTATTATTAATTACATTAGTGATTTAAATTCTTTTCTTAAAATTATTTTAGTATTAATTTAATATTCTTTATAATCACTTTTGAATTTAGTTTTGTCATTTTAGAGATTCAAATTTAATGTGATATATATTTCTACTTAGAATTTTATTTTATTCAAAAAATTTATATTATATTACTAGTATGATGCATGAGGATAGAGAATGTCACATATTTTCTAACGAGAGAAATTGAGCATTTATAATCGAAAGAATAGTAGTTTCAAGTTAAAAGATTATAATTTACACTATAGAAGTAAATTTAATCCATGTGCATGCATTAATATAAACATCACTTTAAAAGAAATATAAACATCACTAAAGGATCTTTCATATTATAATAAGAAACAAAAGATCAAAGTAAAAACTTCAAAGAAAAGTTGTCACAAAACATGGCTAACCTAACACTTTTTTTTCTCGATTTCTCCAACAACTAAAAGACAATTCTTCATCTTCTCAAGCATATTCTGAAGTAGAGAAATCAAACACATGACTTTTTTTTATTTATTTATTTCACATTTCATCAAACACCTTACATATAAACACGATATTTTTCATAAGAACCATATACTCACGAGTCAAAGAAGCAAAATCATGAATTAGAATCACAATTAAAAAGCAACAAAATATGAAGAAAAAATAACTTGAGCATAAGCAAGAGAAAAAGGCAAATTATAAGTGAAAATAAACTAGCAAAGCTTTTATCTTATTTTACTATACTTGATCATTGATAAAATACATGGCTACATGTGCAAGACCATAGGAGGGGGGAGATCTAGACCGCAAAACACAAATAGTTATTTTAAGTTTCAGAGACATTCACAAACATCTCAAAGCTTGTAGAAATAACCAATTCTACAATTATTTATAAGGTATAGAATTCTTATCACTCAAGAATCAAGTTTGATTGGTGCAGTTTGGTTCTTCATTTCATTAGAAACAAAGCACCAGATCTGCACCAAGCAAACTCCATCCATGAGTGAAGCAAGGACAAAAGACAAACATGATTACCAATGGTATTTCACATAAGTTTTGCTATTGATCTCTATAAATCTATTATACTTGATGAGCTAGTGTTTATCCTCTTATATACAACGAAAAGGGATAGAAAAATTAAATGTTATCATCTTTTAATGCTTTAGAATGGTAGAAATTAATATTTTTTATATTTTACATTAAATAACAATTAATGATGATGTAAAAGAAATTAATGATAAGTATTAATTATGTATTGATTGCATTGACATTTAAACATATATTTAATACGTTATTTTTTCATTAAAATAAAGCATTTATATGTCTATGTTTTATTCCCTTCGTTTTTTTTTTGTTTGACATTTAAGGTTATGCACAAGAATTAAGAAAATGATTGATATTTTAGTTTTTCAAAGTATTTATTACTTATTTTCCTGTTATACCTTTTAGGTAGTTGGAGAAGAAATAGGTACATTAGAAAATGAATAAACACATTGTTCAATAAACACACATTAATTATCAAGGGTAAAAATGAAAAAGAAAATCAATAAGTTATTGGTTTTAGAAAAGTGACAATGAAAAAAGAAGAAAAAAATGTCAAAATGACTATAAATAAAAAACGGAGGGAGTAATATTATCTCTACCCATATTTATTATCTATTTTAATTGGATTAAAGGTGTCAAACAGGTTTTAATCTTATCTACAAGGGTCAAATGTTATTTTAAGTTATGTTGGTTTAATCTATATTTTTTTAATTTTCATTCTTCGGTTCAACTGTCTCATATTTGGTCATCGAACCAAATTGATCTAATTAAAAAAATATTTTTAAATATTAAATTTACTTTTTAACAATAAAAAATAAAAAATTATAATATGATTAATTGATATTATACATTGCCATAAAATTAGCTTTGTTACCCGACATGACCTCCAAAATCTTAGTACTTAGGAGATACAGAACACTTAATAATATGATAAAAATAATTTTGCATGTATACCATTTCTCATAACCATTGCATTTGCATTTATCCACCCATCAACTGGATCAAACTTTTCATAATAATTTCATATCTTAGAGGTATTAGACTTAGTTTTCTCAGCATTTTCAGTATTTTAGTTTTAGTCATTAATAATTCTACTCTTTCTTTTATTACCAATAGTAGTAACAAAAGGACTAGTAACAATAGTAGGCTCCCTCTTTGTGTTAGGTGAAATTTTCATTATATCTAAATCATCCTCCATGTTATCAAAAATGTCATCAACATTCGTGATTGTAATATTCAAAATTAAACAAATTTACTCATTTAATTCATAGTTTTCACAATGGGTTATAAAGCAACAACAAAACCAATATAATTATTAGTTCAATTCATAAGAAACAACAACAATAATTCAGTTCATAATTCTCAGTGACAAGTACGGATGCCAAAAAAAACTTGTACTTGCGAATAAAATCTATTATAGATTTTAAATGAATAATTAAATTAGTACCAACTTAATAATATGACAAACCTGTATTCGTGGATATTCTCATTTTAAAAATACTCTTAATTATATATAAAATATTTTAATTTAATTTTTTTACACTAAATATATGTGTCATGATTATTTATTTTAGTATAAATATATGTTACAAATTTATTTTTTAATATAGGTATATGTTTTTAAATTATTTAATTTTTATTTTATTTCTTAGCTTTTTATTTAAAATTTTATATTTTCTCAAATATCCACAAATACCATAGATACTTGCGGATATATAAAAATTTCTTGGATACGACTAAATAGATACTCACACTAAACACACACATGATTGGAAGCTATTACCTGCCTCACCCTACTTCACCCCATTGTCAACCCTAAAGCACAAGTGTGATTATGTCTTC